TTAGTTGTCAGCAGGTAAAAAATCTCCAAGAGGTCGTTAGGATCAAGATTTTTAATATAATAAATTTTGACCCAAAAATCACATTTAAAATCTTAAAAAAATTAATTAAGGTATGTGGGAAAATTAACTTGCTTGATTAGACATCGTAGATTTGGAGCCCAATTGTGTAGAAACTCATTTATCCCTATCTTGGTCCTCCTTCTCCAATCTCATTCTTTCTCAAGACTAACAAACCAAAAATGAATCTAGAAACCCCACCGACCAAATCTTCCAAAGCGAGGCACCCCACTGATTGCGGCCAGCGACTTCAGCCAATTTAGCCTCTTCGCAAATGGAGGAAACGAGAATTAAGTTCCCATCAAATCACAAGCCGCCAACCCTCATCGATTGCAGAACCCAGAACCCACCATTGATTTCAAAACCCAAAACCCACCAACCCTTTACTCATCAACGGGAACAAACATGAGGAGTGCTCTCCAGGTGGGTGCATGGAGCTTTTTCTCATATGGAGAAGAAGAATCGAGTTCGATGTTCCTGGCTCGATGTTAATCCACTGAAAAGTAACGTCGGTATGTGGGAATGAATTGGTAAAGGATGAAATAGAAGCTTGGAGAGCAATGTCGGCCTGTGAGTGGATAGGTAGCCGCCGACCACAAAGGAGGAAGAAACTTGTTGTGTGGAAAAGATGGGTAAATTTTGAGGGAGGATAGTGTGGGAAGAAAACAAAAAATAGTGAGGAATTTCGGGGATCAGCTATTTCAAAATCCCACTTAGAGTTTCTGAAATCATTTATGCTGATTTTTTTAAGTCTTCACAAAACAAGATTGTGACAAAATCGAGAATGTGAGAGATTGTGGCAAAATCGTGCATCACAATTACCTACGCTCCTCTTCTTCTTATCCTTCTATGAGCGTCTCTTTTCCCCTCCTCAAAAGTACCTCTCTTCCCACCTTTTCGATATGCTCTTCTCCTTTCATCCAAAGTTGATATGCTACTTTCTATCTTCAATCTTTCCCTCCCTTTGATCTACTTCACCCTCTTCATCCTCATATGTTTTTTCTTCTTTCTCTCATTACCTCCTACGATTTACTTCTCCCTCTTTCCTCTCGTCTGATCTATGTTACTCATCTATCCGGAAAGGAGAGAGTCGATGTTGGATATATATATTTTGCGCAAAGAGCAGGCTTTTCGTTGCAACTGCATCATGTGGGTGGCAAATTGGTAGGCAAAGGTGAGAAGACAAGCTTTTCTAAAAGGTAAAAAAGGTCAATAAATTAATTTTTTCATTGAAAAATAAAGATACATCGCTTCTTTTACAAAATGGAGAACAAATTAAATTTGTCAACATGAATGTGCTTATCAGCCTAGTCAAACAACTAGGTTCTAGGTGAGTGCTTGGATCTGGGGGTGGGATTCGGTCGGGTTCGGTTCAAACCAAACTGAAATTATGCATACCGGGTCCCCAAATTCTATCAAACCTCAAACTGAATTCGAACCGAATTATAATTTGGTTCGGTCGATTCAAACCAAATTATAATTCGGTTCGGTTAATTTTTCATAGAAAACCGAACTTGTGAGGTTAGCTTGTATCTTCTCTCTTTTAAATTATTTTTCACCCCTAATGTAAACAATAAATATGCATCATCAATTATAAAATCAAACATTTCAACACATAAGTCATAAAACACTAACATGATTCAAATATTTAAGTCTCATAATAAGTAGAAACATAAAAATCCACCATTTGGAGCTTGCAATTATAATAATTTGGTTTTTTGGTTCGGAATTCAGAAATTCGGTTCGGTCGAAAGGACCATGGTTTTCGAAATATGCCCTTTTCTCTTCCGAATTCCGAACCGAATAACATTAATTCGGTTTTGATTCGGTTTATAATCGGTTTGGTTAGGTTCGGTTCGATTTTACTGAACCGTATGCCCACCCCTACTTGGATCGTTGGTCAACTTGGATTTCATCTAGTTATTAACTTTAACGAAAGTATTGAGTTGCCTGCGGGCAAGAAATTTCCAAGAGGTCATTTGGATCATGAATTTTAATATGAGAATTTTGACCCAAAAAGCTCATTTAAAATATAAAAAAATTAAATAAGGTCTTTAGGGTCATTAACTGTTTGGTCAGACATCATGGGTTTGTAGGCCAATTGTGTAAAAACTCATTTATCTTCATCTTCTTCCTCCTTCGCTAATCTCCTTCTTTCTCCATACGAACAAACCAAAGATGAATATGAAAACCCCACCAGCCAGATCTATCCTCGCTACCGATAAATTAGCTAAAAGTCAGTGACCCCACTGACTGAAGACCGGTGACCTTGGGCAACTCGGCACATTCAAAAATAGAGGAAACGGGAATCAAGTTCCCACCAAATCAAAAGCCGCCAACCCTCATCGATTGCAGAACCCAGAACCCACCATCGATTGCGAAACCCAGAACCCACCAACCCTCGACTCATCGACGAGAACGAACATGAAGAGTGCCCTCTATATGGGTTCAAGGGGCTTTTTCCCAGTTGGAGAATAAGAATCAATGTCTATGTTCCTTGCTTGATGTCGTGCACTGCGAAGTAACGTTGACCATTGGGAATGGATTGGTAAATGATGAAATAGAAGCTTGGAGAGCAACAACTGCCCATGAATGGATAGGTAGTCATTGACTACGAAGAGGAATTTTTTTTTTGTGTCAATAGGATGGGGAAGGTTTGAGGGGAGGTGAGTGCTTGGATCGTTGGTCAACTTGGATTTCATCTAGTTGTTAACTTTAACGAAAGTATTGAGTTGCCTGCGGGCCAAAATTTTTCAAGAGGTCATTTGGACCATGAATTTTAATAAGAGAATTTTGACCCAAAAAGCTCATTTAAAATATAAAAAAATTAAATAAGGTATTTAGGGTCATTAACTGTTTGGTCAGACATCATGGGTTTGTACGCCAATTGTATAAAAACTCATTTATCCTCATCTTCTTCCTCCTTCTCTAATCTCCTTCTTTCTCCATACGAACAAACCAAAGATGAATATGAAAACCCCACCAGCCAGATCTGTCCTCACTACCGGTAAACTCTCTATAAGTCGGCGACCCCACTAACTGAAGACCGGTAACCTCGGGAAACTCGGCACATTCTCAAATAGAGGAAACGGGAATTAAGTTCCCACCAAATCAAAAGCCGCCAACCTTCATCGATTGCAGAACCCAGAACCCACCCTCGATTGCGAGATCCATAACCCACCAACCCTCTACTCATCAACGAGAACGAACATGAGGAGTGCCCTCTAGATGGGTTCAGGGGATTTTTTCCCAGTTGGAGAATAAGAATCAATGTCTCTGTTCATTGCCCGACGTCGTGCACTGCGAAGTAACATTGGGCAGTGGGAATGGATTGGTAAATGATGAAATAGAAGTTTGGAGAGCAACAACTGCCTGTGAATGGATAGGTAGTCACTGACCACAGAGGAGGGAAAAAAATTTTGTATCGATAGGATTGGGAAGGTTTGAGGGAGGATAATGTGTGAAGACCACAATCCCCCAAAGGATTCCTACTTGTCATATGTTATTTATCTTTCTCACCTCGTCTTCTTATCCTTCTATACACTTCTCTCCCCCTTCTCTAAAACACCTCTCTTCCAAAAAAATTCTATATTCTCTTCCCCTTTCAACTAAAACTAATATGCTACGTTCTGTCTACAATCTTTCCCTCCTTCGATCTACTTCTCCCTCTTCCTCCTCGTATGTTTTGCTTCTTTCTCCCTTTACCTCTTATGATTTACTTCTCCCACTTTCTTCTCATCTGGTATCTGTTACTCATCTGTCGGGAAAGGAAGGAGTTGGCGATGGATGGAGATATTTTGCACAAAGAGTTGCTAGTCGTCACAACTATGGTATGTAGGAGGAAAATTGGTAGGCTAATGCGAGAAGACTATCTTTTCTCTCTTTGGGCTTGACAAATAGAAAATGGTTTTGTTCTCACTATCAAGAACAGTAGATCCAAATAGCTCGAGTTGTTGGGAGAGGTTCAGTTATAAATCATATAGCATTTACCAACACATCTCCTCAAACTAAAGGTGACTCGTATCATCTTGGAATTTGCACTTGTTCAGATAGCATGTGTTTAACAGAACATATGAGTTATCAAGATTCGAACAGAAGACCTCTTAAACACAGAAGACTCTGATACCATGTCAAGAACCAATTAATCCCAATAACTTGTGTTGTTGAGAGAGATTCAATTATAGATCATATGAAATTTACTGACACTCACTTGACCTGGTACTCGACTCTAGGATCAAGTCGGTTGATTGTTCAGAGTTTGATCGGGTTTCTTCTGATCTTGGCTAAATTCAGGTGGACAATCAATTGAGTTTTAGGTAGATGTGACAATTTGAATACAATCTATCAATGTAAAAATCTAACTAACATAATCCATAGTACCTGCATATATTTATATTTCACAATTTGGTACCTAAATTTGAACTTTTGAATGAAAAGTTTATTAACAACTATATTTTGGTACGTCAATTTTTTATAATAACATTTTAGTACATAAATTTTTCTAGAATTTTTGTATTGGTCCAAGATTTAAATACCATAAAATTCACGAATTTATTTAACCTAATATATGAATCCAATATACTTGCCACCGCTAGTTTCTCACTTCGAGTCCGAATTCGATTAAAAACTGTTCATTCATCCGGTTCTTTTACGGGTTGACAATATGAATCGGATCAAAAATTCAAAATTATCTATTACTGCTGTCACTAAGCTTTGGGCAAAGGGGATTTTAGGGGTTAGTCTTTCAGAGATTTATCTTTGTCTAATGACTCCTCTAGCGAAGCAAGGGCTGGCGTATTGTTCATGTTACTTGTGGGCTTGTCGGGGAGGTCTGAAAACAAACTCTCATCACGCAAAAGCTTTGAAATGGGCTTCTTACTTGCGGGCTAGCAAGTTATTCAGATGGGCGGCCCGATGGAAAACTCTATAGTTTCGGGCCAGAAGCCCAGCAAACTCAGCTACATACTTCTGTTGAAACTTGAAACTAGCCGCCGTTGGCATGGTTCGGGCAACGGACAAATGGCTAGACTGATACGACCATTGCACCTGCAACAATGGCCGCAGCTCAACAACCACCATTGTTGCCGCTCACGTCCTTCGCTCCACCATCTCCTAACCTTGTCAACTTCAACAATAAACTGCTGCAAAGCCGCTCCGCAATTTCTCTCTTGCACTACTGCGCCCTTCTCCTCTTCCCGCAGCGTTCACACTCGCGCTCGTGCTCGCGGTCCCAGATTCGCTAACGCACCGCGGTCGGCCGAAGTCGACGAGAAGGAAGGCGAGGCCGGAAGCAGCGATTCCGACTCCGATGGAAAGAAAGGCCGCAACGAGAGGAAGCGCGAGGCTCGTCGCGCCGTCCTGTGGGCGATGGAGCTCGCTGCCTTGTCTCCCCTGCAAATCAAACGAGTTCTAAGGTACTCTTAGTGAATCGAAATTCCGGATTCTCTTGATTAGGATTTAGAATTTAATTTCGGCGCGGTGTACGCTTGTGTTTAATTTGATTGTTTGAATTCGGGGGGAACCTACAGGATGGCTAAGCTTGAACGGGAGGTGTTTGAAGCATTGACGCTAGTTAAGGTATACAATTCTTCAGCTGATTATCTTTGGGCAAGCGGTACTATTGTAGCTAAGGTGTTTGTTTAATTGACCCAGAGACTAGGACCAGACGTCCGAGAAGGAAAACGAAGGCAATACAACTATATCGGTAAATGATTCCCTCTTTGTTCTTGAATTAGCGCTGAAAAATTCTCTCCATTTCCCGATCAAATCCATCAAATGCTCTAAGTGAAATTGTCCTTAAAAAGAAAAACTGGTTCGCACAGGGAAGCTACTTCGTGAGGTAGAACCTGAGCTAATGGACGCCTTGATACACGCAAGCAAAGATGGGGACTGGAGTAGGCTGCAGGGCATTCCTGGTTTCAAAGCCGATGAAGCTGATGACAAAGAAATCGAAGAGGAATTCGAAGAGGTATGAAGAGATAGTATACAATGTACGTGTTGGTTAGTGAAGCTTGCTTCTTGAGTTCAGAATGATAGTTTAGGTTTCAAACAATTTGGTTCTAGTACTTTTTTCAGCTGCATCCATTTGAAGGGTGTCCTTTGTAGTTTCAGCCTCATCCTAGTTAACTAGCTCTGTCTTAGACCAGAAACGACAATGGCTGAATCATCATTTGATAAATTTGCCAGGTTTCTGAGGAGCACATTGAGATGGCAACCAGCTGGTTTGATGGTTTAATCACGAATGACGTTGACATTACAAAAGAAGTTTATGCACTTGGCGTGGTTGATTTTGATCGCCAGGCAAGTCTTAATATGAGTTCTGCTAATCCTTTACTTACCATCATCATGACCATATCATTTAAGACTTGTTATTATGAAATTATCTTGGGTGTATTTTATTGTCGTGCTGAATTTGGTTCTTCTGTCTGTTACAGGAGTTGCGGAAACTGGTACGTAAAGTTCACACAGTTCAAGAACAAGAGTCCGATGGGGACGAGGAGAGTGAGAAGAAGGTGGCTGCTGCTGCCATGGCCAGTGCCAAGAAGTCCCTCAACAGGTTCCTTCGTGTCCTTGCCAAGCAGATGCCTAATGAATCCAACCCCATTGTTGAGTTTTAACAAGAGAAAGGTAATATATATTTCATTATTGGGCACGTTTCGATGGACATACCAGACGTCAGGCCCAATAGGCCTGTGCTTGGAAATGGGCCTGGAAGTCCATGGATTCAAGGTTTTTCTGCTTTACGCAAAGCCAGAAGGTTGAATCCAGGCCCGAAGATGACGTATGAGATACAGCATGCAGTATGCCAATATACCACCACCGCTCTCCAGACCAACGAAAGAAAAAGCAGTGCCCAGTGCCCTTTGATGGGGACGTTTAACTTCCACCAGATCCGTTCGTCCATTTATCACTCTTTTAAATCTTAGTTTAACCTGAATTTATTTCTTTTATCTTTGAACAAATATTTTGTGGATGTGAAGCATTTGGGCGTGGATATGTGAATCTAGATTCTAGAGGCGGTTCATACAATATAATATGTGTTCTGTTCTGTACTTGATTGAGATTGGATGATGTTTGCGGCCAAAACGAGAAGGAAGTCCATTCCATAGTGTAAATATTATAGGCGGTGACGTAAGTTGCAGGGACAGCCATTGCCAGAGCCGATTTCCGGACACAGACAAGGTTTAGTAGGTTGAGAAGAGACGGACGAGGAGGCAAAACTGCTGATGCAGAAGACAGTAACAAGTTTGTTGTTTTGTCGAGACAGATACCTACATTAATACAAGGAGGGCGGTTGAATTATATATGTGGAGCAAATGATCCCTCGTTTCGCGTATTGCCCTGACCTTTCTTGTTAAGTCTTCATCAATAATAATGATTTTTCTTTTTGGCATCAGCTGATGTGATCGGCTCATTATTCTTCCACTGGAGTAGCTCTATCATCGAGTGCAAATCACATTATTATTTGGCCCATCCATTTCTTTCGTTTAGGCTACACTTAGCCAACTCATCATGAAATGTTGCTGTGGTGAGGTGTATTTTCAGGCAATTTGATGCAATGTTTTTTAAACTGTATTATACAATATACATGTCTGTTTCGTGTACCGAATCTCAAACGTTAGCGGTTTTAGGAGCTGTATGAAACAATTGTATCAAGGTTACACCACGATTTTAGTATAAAACACACCCTGCCACGGGTATCACCGACTTTTCTTGTAGAACTTCTGAAACCGTCAAATGTTTCATACGTATAATAGTTGTTTAGAATATGACAATACAGTCTTATACTCAATTAAATAACAAAATATGTGATAGTATGTAAATCTTGATATGTGGATGACCATTGCCATTACCACATTAGATGCTCACTTGGGAGTTACATGTAACCCTCATTCCTACATTTGATAGCTCCTTTATGTTTCATTATCTCTCATTGATATAAAGATGTAGTGGTTACCAAGGTGTGCCTATAAATAAAGCACATCATTGTATCAAAAGAGATAGAATGAATAAGAAGAACTATTTCCCTCTCTTCTCTTGTATCTTTCACTCTCTAATCTTCTCTTGTGGTTGTTTATATTTTACATTAGTTTTATAACACGTTATCAGCACGAAGCTCTGCCAAAATTATCATTGCTAAGATCACAATATCTAAGATATATTATTGAGTAAGATCACATTATAATCAAGGTATGTAAATCTTATATCCTTTCTTATCTTATTGTCTTATTTGTGTTGACATTATCTCATTCCAATATATCAAGATGGGTGTTACTCTTTTCTTGTATCCGTTGATATTTTATCACGTCGATCTATTTGGATTAACAAGAAAAGTAATATAAGTGATGAGTTAATTTCTCAGTTCTCAGTGTTATCCTATTCTTATCCATCATACATTGATATGTGGAAAATGCAAGTTTCAAGAGCCCATATATTCCCCAGAAGTGGAAATTGAAGAATCCAAGGGCAAAGAAAGAAGTGGACATGGTAACCAGAATATTGGTTTTGTATGTTACCATTGTAATGGAAAAGTGCGTTTGTCTCGTACCCGTTGTACGCAAAAGACTTTATTCTACTAAGAATCAAAGAGAAGAGCAAATTCAAATATGCTCATGCAATATCAATATTATGGAATATATTTTTGTAATATAAGTTGGTATATTCTCCATTAAAGATGAAAATGATATCACTTGAGAAATTTTCATTTCCAGAAGTGAATGAAATAATTTATTCTCCGAAGTGAATGGAGCTATAAACATAATTATATATATGTTAAATGTATTGTTTGGATATTTTCACCAGAAGTGAGAAAAGAGAAGAAAAAGGAGAATTATAAATAAGTATGACACAACAATTATATTATCAAAGTCATGATAACATAAGGTACCTATTGTACATTGAAATGTATAATGAAAGGCAAATATCTTTATTTTTATCAATGTTGAAGGCATATATAAATTTAAAATCACCTAGTTAGTGATGGTATTGTTCCAAATAAATCTTATTTATTTTTCACAATTGTGGTATTATGATTCTTATTTCTTTTATGTTTTATTGTGACGTTATTTTTCATGCATAATTTAATTTGATAACATTTATCTAGAACAATTAACTTGATAAGTTCATCATTTTTGTCTTAAGTTTGAAATACTCATTTATTATTTTAGTATGTTTTTGTAAAGTATGATTGTTAGAAAAATTACATATAAACTATATGGTAGAGTACATAAAATAAGAAAAAGCTTCCGAAGAGCTTATGTTTGGTTACTTGAAGTAACTAAATTATGTACTCGTGATAACAATTTGTGATGATATTCACTATGAATTTGTGTTTACTAAGAATGCATCAAATCATAAGTCCCCGGAAGGGTGGAATATGGTACAAAATATGATAAAGCTTTAAAGGGAGCTAATTTTGTGGCCTGAAGGAACCAAACTACCTAGTGATGATGCATTACCCAATTAAAAGGATATTCGTAAAATGAATATCTTATCAAGAAAATAGTGAAACTAATATTTGCATCACAAATATGTACTACATGTATATTAGTACAATCAATACACATAAAAGTGTAAACCAGAAGTTTACAAGATTTGATAACTTGATAATTGGTTGGTCCGGTTAGACCATCCCGGATCTTGATGTGAAAAAAATTCTTTGAGAATTCATGAGAACATCATATGAGAAGTCAAAGAACTCTTCAAATCAAAGAGTTATTATGGCATGTTTGTTCTCAAGGAGAATAGAATAATTGATCATCGCTTGTATAAGAGTTGACAAATCTCTTGAGATTTTATGGACTTGTATGCAGAACAATACATCAGTCATGTGGATCATTTGTGAATTTTATGGGTTGCTGCATCAAATGTATTTTATCTAATCGCAACCCGATGTTTGCGAGATTGGTTGTCTCACTATGGATACATTTTGATGGTTATCCAATCGAACATCACTTTGCTTAATAGAACAAGCCGAGCCTTCTGGTCTCTTGTCGAGGACATGCTAGCTGACAAGTGATAGTATTGGTTCACATCTAACCAACAAGTTATCATAAGTTCCCCCCTTTTACAAATGGTTTTTGTAAGAAACCTAACATTTCTCATACGAGAATACCTGGGTGTGCCGCATACATCCAATTGCTCCGCCACAGTATCTTAAGTTGATTCTCGTTGGAAATTGAGAATTTGTGTTGGGTATGAATTCCGAATGGAAATTTGTTTGCGAAATTATTGTTTTGATGGATTACTTTTCCAACATTAAGGGGGAGAGAAAAAAAACAGCCAGACAAAAAGATGAGTTGGAATGAGTTATCATTATATCTAGTTTTGATCCTCAAATTAAGAAACATGAACCCTGAAGTTCATAAGATGAATTATCATTACCAACTATCAAATGCCTTTACTGGCCATACGAAGTGACCAAGTCACATATACTAGCTGTGAATGCTCCAACTAAATTTGATATCCTTGTTGGATACTCTAATATAAAAAAATGTGTATGAAAGAACGCATGAAGCGCGATAGACCAATCGGTTCCAATTATAAACATCCTCGAGAAAGAAAAGGAGCTGTAATTAGAATGGTCAACTCGAGGACATGAAAACTCAAGAAGAGTAACCAAGAATAAAATATAATTTTAGTTCCAGAAGAACACATGTCTCTGAAAGTTGTGAAAGCGAAGAGATCTCAAAACCATATTAGACTACAATACTGGAACCGTAATGAAATCATTGTCGATGAAATTTGTTTGTTGTACTTCAGTACTGAATATGATATGTACAATGTGAGGATCAAGAGTAAAACTCTATTGATGCATGCAAATGATGATGTTATTGGCCAATATGGAAAGAAATCATGAAACTTGCTTAAGGAGCATAAAGTTTAAGGACCAGAAGTCCTTGCACCTAAAAAAGGGCAAAACTAGCGGGATACAAACAAATTTTTGTGCTATTGGAAAGTATGAAATTGTGAGAGATATCACATAATGTTTTGCAATGGGTTTCTCGAAGAGACCTATCATTGTTTAAGAGGAGTTATACTCCCCTGTGGTGGATGCAACTACTTTTTCAAATCAATGTTTGAAATTTGTTTGAATTCCCTGAAGATGTTATATATATTTGAAACTCCCTGAAGGATTAGTTACTGCTAGAAGGATTAATTTACCTGAAGTAAACAAGTAAAGTTCTCGAGAACATATATCGATAGACTAAGAAAATCCCTTGTGTGGGTTGAGAAATATAGACGAATGTGAAATACTCGTCTAAGTGAACACCTACAACAGTAGGGTGAATGGACCTTAAGAGGTTAAATCCGGAAAGAGTCATTAGAGCATTTGCATTGTGCATATATAGTTGTGTTGTCTGTATGTGCTTCAAGGATTTTAAATTATTGATTTATGAGTTGTGATTTACTTTAAAGTATGAGTTGTGTTTTATGAGTGTGCTTTGTCTAGTTCATATGTTTCTATGATGTGTGTTTTGTTAATATCTTTCGTGATATGAAAGAATTGCTTGCTTCAATTTGTTTTAGTCAAGTTTTTTTGTGACGATCTCATATTATGTTGATGATATGTCTATTATTGAGCTCCTGAAGAGGTCCCTAAAGCAGTTGATTGCTTAACGACATAAGTTAAATTGAAGGATTTAAGATTCTTTTTATGGGAAAGGAAGGTAACGTTGAAAAAGTGGAAAAGTAATTTTGCATGAACAAATTATGTTCATCAAATAACATTAGGATCCTAAGATCACCGGAAGTGACCAAAGATCCACTTAGGCATCAAGAAAGAAGTGAGACATTAGGTCCTGAAGTACTTTATGTTGATGTACTAGGTCCTGAAGTACCATATGTTGATGCATCAAAGCACCAATTCACATTGCTAGCCAAACACCATATAAACTATCATTTTGGTGTTGATAATATTAGCAAAATACAACGTTTCCCTCATTGGAACGTTGGAAATACTTTGTTACCTTCACGAATAATATATGCGATTGTTCTATTATGGTACTATCAAAGAGAGATTTGGTGAACTATATATCCAAATCCTATATATTATTTGATCCTCATATTGGTTGATCAGAGATGAGCTATCTCTTACATATGGCGATGTGATTGTTTCATAGATATCCGCAACAAACTATAGTAGGCAAGTCCTGAATGTATTTCGTTACACTTTGTGATTCACAATATCTAAAGGACTTGTGGTTGTAAACTATTTCTAAAGGAAATGATCCTGACGATCATGTATAAAAAAAATCTAAAGATCATGCATAAGATTGACAATCTAGAAGATTG